GAGGAGGTTCCTCGGCCACCCATGCCCCTGTAAATAGGGGCCAGATTAACCCCTTGGGAGACTGGGGCCAGGTAAAGGCTGGTAGGAAGCTGCCCAGCTCATTTCTTGAATCTAGGCTTGAGAAGTCACTCCCTTCCCATGTGTGCCCAGCAACAGGCCACCTCGTGAGCTGGGGGTCTTCCATCAGGGAGGAAGTAGCAAGTAGACCCTCTCCCACCCCCATCTCTAGTGCAGGTGCCAGGGGGCAGGAAGTACCCATGGGGTGGTGAATAGAGACTAGATATATTTGGGCTGGTGGGGCTAATTCCAGCCACTACCGCCTGCTCTACTGGCTTCAGAGCTCCTTTCCTTCCTGTGAAACCAGAGCTGGGTTGGGCCTAGCTCAGGATTTCGGTGGATTTAAAGAGGCAGCACCATCTCTGCCAGCCTGGTTTCCTCTCCCCCTCCCCAGGTAGGGTCTAGGGCAGAGAGAGGGTGGAGAATTTTGAGCTCTTCCCTTGCCCCAGGTTAACCCCCTGGCCCTGGCCTCTCTTGGGGTACCAGGCTTTTGGCACTCCTCTCTCCCAGAGCCTTGAGCGGGTGGGGTGGGCGGGGGTGGGCTGTGGTTTCCTGTGTTGGCTGTTTGTGCCTGGCCCAGAGTGCCCGCTGCCTGCCTGGGCTTCCTGCCCTGTCTTGTTTCCTTGTGCCCCCCGCCCCTCCCCACCCCTCTCCCCAGGGGGAGGGAGCAGCCAGGGATTGGGCAGCAGTCTTTTGGGGGCACCCCACTGCCAGGGTATGATTGCTTCCTGAGGTCTGGCTTCAGTGGTAATGACTGAAAGAGCCAAGAGAAATGAAGTGAACTTAGGCCTCTTCAGGCAATGCCACTTGTCCCCACAGGCTCCAGAAGGACAATGGTCTAGAAAGAGCAGAATTAACCTACCCCAGGCACTCTCTGGAAAGATCCCAGTCTGGAAAGGTCTAGGATCATCCAATTTCTTGGTCCTGTAGGGTTGGGGTTGCATGACCTTACCCTGGAGCTTCAAGTAGGGTGGGGCTAGAAACTCCAGGCAAAAACTCCCAAGCAAAAATGGTTGATTTGCATGGAATCTTGGTGGGGGGTATTGCTAGGAACCCCAGCCAGGGGAAGGCCCCCCGACCCCCAGCCTGGAAGTCCCCACATAGAGGGTCTCAGAGTAACACCTTGGTCCTTGAGCAGATTTCCTGCTAGGCTCTAAATCCTTGACCTCCCCACCAGACTGAGTCACTGCCTCAGGAAGAGGAAGTGACCTGAGTGGTAGAGAACAGTTTCTGAAGACCCAGGGAGTCCTAACACCCTGGAGAAAGGGACTTGGGACATTGTCTTGGGGACTGAATTTCCCTGAGTCAGAGACTAGGGACCCTGTCTCTCCTGTAGCACACATTTTCCTCTCTGAGTCCTTGCTCACTGCATGAGGGTATATGGGCCCTTCAAAGCATTTTCTCACTGCTCCTTTGTTTTCTTTTGTTTGTTTGTTTGACTGTGCTGGGATTGTACACAGGACAACAGAATGTAAACATATTGCGCTATATTCCCCGTATGTTTTTTTTTTTTTTTTTTTTTTTTTGTTTGGGGTTGGGTTGTGGGGGGGTGTG